AACATAAACAACATGGTACATCAGTTGTATTAGGTGAGCTTTTCATTGAAGGCAGCTGATCTTGAAGGGGATCTGATTCAAGGAAAACATCATAGAAGGGATACAATATACACAGCAGGATAATTTCTAAATTTTCAGTTGCTTTTTGTTTTTTTCTCAAATGGTAGTAGAGTCAACTGGCCTCATATCAGAAAAGCAAATAGACTTACGTATTTGGTATCCAGAGTTGTGCAGCTAGTCAGTTTGTTTCTACCAAAGGGGCTGATCCATGCAGATGCCCTTTGTTTGATAAATCTCTTTCAACAACAATAATACTGTGTCTTCTGACTCCCTAGAAGGAGGGATAGAAAAAAGGAAAAAGAAAGAAATAACAGTTATTTATGATAGATTACACACTGGCAAATTTCTGATGTATATATATTTTACGTACTTCGAATCCTAGCTATAACGCATATAAACTAAATTCAAATCAGGACATCATGTTTTTCCCACCTTTATATAATTTGAAACTAAATGTGAAAACAGTGAAGACTGGGCGTAAACCTTAACTTCCAGCTCAGCAATTAAAACAATACAATACAAAGGAGGAAGACAGATAAATAGTCATGAGCCTCTTGGAGAAGAACAGGAATGATGGAGAAGATGAAAGACAATACAGTCTTCTTCAACTGCCACCTTGCATGACAATTCAGATGAGAGGGCAAACTGGCTGGAAGAGTTGAGTTGGCTGATCTAGATTTCTAGGCTCGTATCCTCTCCTTCCTTCCTGGGTCCATGTATGTCCTTCCCAAACCTGCATGCTTAGTGGAAGACCAGATCAATATTTTGGTCAAGGGCATTTGATGAGAGCCCCCATCCAGCAAAGCTATTGGGCACCAGATCAGGATTAGCCCCCTAGGCAGAGCTTACCAGTAGCATAAATGGCCTTGCAGTGCAAATAAATATTCATTAAAGCTTTCAATGGGTTTCTCTTGAAGCACGTAGTCAATGCGATGGCCCCCATTCAACAGCCCCACATTAATTGGAGGTGGATCCTCTTTTGCTGATGTGGTTGGTTCCTCTGGTTTCTCCTCTGTATTCACATGGAAGAAAACTGAATCAACACACTTGCAGTCAGTGAACAGGCCAGTTAAGCTAAGACCAGCCTTAACTTTCCTGCCAAAGGCAATGGTGGCAGCTCAGTCTTATAGGCATCTCCAAACCTGCAAGTTTTAAGACTCGTGGAGTTCAACTCCCAACATTTCTCATCCAGCCATGGGAGTTGAACTCAGCCAGAATCCTGGGAGCTGAAATCCACAAATCTTACAGTTGCCAGATTTGAAGACCCCTGCATATTCTCAAAAGAGCTTTCTTCAGACAATATTAAAAAGAAGTGGCAACTCTTGCCCACAAGTACTTAGATGGCAATTCCAGTTGAAGAGTTACAGTGCTCCGTGCCCAGCCCTGGAAAGTGCCCAACTCAGCCCAGAGGCCATTAGATCTCTCTTCACTCAATAGAGCACAAGGAGCCTTTACCTGGTGCCAAGGAGGCTTTTAGGCAACTCAGAATCTCTCAAATATAACTCACTGTATCAACATATTCATTCTGCACTATTTACTCCAAACCTTTATTGCAATTGAAGTTTTGTACATGGGAAGCCAAAATGTTTTTGGCCTGAGCCAAAAACAACTGCAAAGCAATACAAAATGTGTTCCTTTGCATGCACCAAAGGTGACTAAACTGAGTGTGCAAACCACAACTTAAAACCTAGGTTTTAAACCAACCGGGTTGCTTCTCCATGCTGGTTTCAGCTTCCGATTCCTGTTCCACATCTCCAGTGGCTCCTGCCTCCACAGCTGGCAATGATGTTCTGGTGAAGGACTGCCAAGCAGTCCTCAAGGAACCCAGCAAGTTATTTTTCAGGTCCATGCTCATCCGAGTGAGGCCTTCCTTCAATTCTGGAAAAATAAAGAAAAAATGCAAAACCAGAAAAAAGACAAGATTGCCTAGATGTGCAACCTAAATGCAGGTTTGAGACTAATGTCTATGGAAGTTCTCATTCATCCAGGTAGTGGTTGTCTCAAAGGTGCTTTTATTTTAAAGGCAGCTGAACTGATTTGCTCCTCATCCAAGAAACTTCTTCGGTTCTAACTAACTGGTGGGGAGTTATATGCTCTGCATTCAGCCAGTTGGGACAGGTTCTAGAGTGTTTGCTATTGAAAAAGCCTGTCATTTTAAATCAGTGTTTCTCAACCCTGGCAACTTTAAGATGCATGGATTTCAACTCCCAGAATTCCCCATCCAGCATGAATGTCTTTGCAAGCATTGCTTCATACATTATAGGGAAAATTCTGAGAAAGTGCCTTCATATATGTGCGCCCATGGGATGCCTGAAGAAGCATCCTAGGATGGATGTGATAAGTTAGCTGCCAGCCATCCTGATTCAACTGTATCCCTAATTCTTGTATGGATAATGCAGGTATATCAGGACACATCACATGGAAAGCTGGAGTTGGAATTCCATTGAAGATCATGGTATATATAGATGTGTAAGATGAAGAAGGAACAACTCTTTTTCTTTTGCTGTTTTTTTTTTACCTAAGTGCATCCTCTTCCGGCCCTTGTGGTGGGGAAGTAGCATGGGTTCGAATTCCACATCAGGAACAATCATGGGCTCAATCCTGTATGCTACTGGGTCAAACTACAAAAGAAAGGGTTTGCAGATATTACAATCTGTCCATTTTCTATACTACCTTTAATCCCAAAGGAAGCATGCAAACCATTTTAAAAAAGAAATTAATGCCACAAGTAAAAGAGTATTACACTTTTTTTGAAGGAGTGGGAAAGCCGCAGATCACATGTGGCTTTGTGGATCCTCTACAGATTGATTTCAAATTCTGATGCATAATTTGCTTCTGAAATTCAGTGCCGAAGAACCCTTATTTTAAGAGCAATTTTATTTTGTTTTAATTTGTTCTAAATTTGTTTGTTTATTCCTTGACTTTGATTCCGCCCCCACCCCTTTCTTTCATTTGGAAAACTTAAAAGATATTATTTTCAAGAGGCTTTGGCACATTTCCATTTTTTTTTCCTGATCATCTCTCAGCAGTATTCATCTTCCCAGAGTTGATTTCACATTGTTACAAGAAGAAAACTTTCCATCGCACAATCTTGAAGGCAGTCCTCATTTAGCAACCATAATTGGCAACTTTTCATTAAGTAAAGCAATTGCTAAGTGAAACCACAACTGTACTAATTACCATACTTCAATTTTCTTTTGTTTTACAGACTACAAAGGCTGCAAATGTGAGCATTGGTTGCAAAGTTACCTTTTTACCACCATCATAATTATGAACAGTCACTATAGAAAGCAATCACTAAATGAGGACTACCTGTATTATCTTGACACCAGGATAATAACCATCCCTATCAAAAGAATCTTAACTTTTTGTCTTCTACACTGATTTTTTTAATGAAAATGGGTAAATGAGGACATTGATTTAAATTGCAGATCTTTTTCTGTTTGGTTTGAATAAACTCTACTGTTTGGGTTTTTATACCTGTGTATTATTACAGTGCCATTTTTGTTTTATATTGAGCTGCACTTTTCATTAAGCTGCCCAGAGGGCCTTTTGAGCCAACAGCAAGGCTTAAGCATTGTCAATTAATAAATAAATCTTCAGAAATCAATACCTCCACCCATGACTGAAAAGTAGCAAATGATTAGGAGAGGTAAACTTTATTTTCCAAACTGCTCTATCCTAATTCTAAATGGACGGTTAACCTAAGCACCAATACAGGATGAGATTATCTCCAGAAAGGGTGCATTAAGGTTTGTCTAATTTAGAAGCTGCATAATTTACAGATTGGATTCTTCAAGAATGTATTTGTTTCCAAATGTTACATGCTTTTGAACAGGCCAGAATTTGGATGGATATGTGTCTGTAAGCAAAGTGCCACAGAACCTTGGTTCTGTCTACATTCCATCTCTCTTATGATTCTTGGTTTTCTTTTACCTTTTTTTCTAAGGCTGGCAGATTTGTTAATTTCTCATCAGTTACATGGATAACCAAAATCTTATTCCATACTATGCAGATATCTGCCACCCAGTGAACATTGTAAACTAGCCATATCTGAGCCAATGTAAACTAGCCATATCTGAGTCCCATCAATTTCAATAGGACTTGAATCAAGTTAGCCATGATCTATTTGAGCAGCAATGCAGCCCACTGTAATTTTCTCTTTGTACTCCTTGGACAAAGGAACAAGAAAAGATACTCAGACGTACAGGATGAAAGATATTGAAGAAGCCTTTGCAGGTAGGCAGAGTGTAGGTTGGATCAATCCTATTCACGCCTCGTACAGTGAGAAACATACCAATGGGTGAGCCAAAAGCAAAAAAAATCTGTGGACTGTAGATAAGCTGAGGGTAGTTTGCAGAGACCTGGTGGAATAGAAATAGAATTGAATTTGCAGGGAACAAGCAATTCCATTCTTTCTGTCTGTCTGCCCATCCATCTATCCAAAATACTAGCATATGTTAATTCAATTAACACGTATGAAGAATTTACTTCCTCCTTATATCATATTGGTCTGTGGGACTCATTTACAAAAATTACAAACGTCCATAATGTAAAATCCAAACAGAAACATGCTGCAAAAAAAAAAAAAAAAAAGGCTTATCTTCCCAGGGCATCTTCCCTTCAAGACATATTTAGAGCCTTGGTCAAAGAGCCTTGATAGTACAGTGGTTATGCACCCTGTTATTAACACAGCTGTCTGCAATTTACTGCTGGTTCGAATCTCTCCAAGGCTCAAGGTTCACTCAGCCTTCCATCCTTTCTAAGGTAGGTGAAATGAGGAGCCATTTTGTGGGGGCAATAAGCTGACTTTGTATAAATATACAAAAGTATGAAGGCTATTGCTTAACGCATTGTAAGCCGCCCTGAGTCTCCGGAGAAGGGCGGCATATAAATCAAATTTAAAAAAATTAAAAAAAATTATCTAAAAGCCTCAGAATTTTCAGACAGTCCTCCAAGCTACATACAGTATTTTCTGAAACAGGAAAATATTTTGTAGCTTGGGCATTTGCATAATGAGTTGTGGAATTCAGCAGCTCATAAAGGCTGGAGATAGAACAAGCAAGGATGAAAGAATGTAAACAAAGATAGCAAAAAATAAAAATGATGGGCATTTAGTGTGATACTTCTGCCCCCACCCCAATGAAGGATCTGATATGAGATAATATGGTCTAGGCTCAAGTCTTGGCCCAATTAGCAGCGATCAGAAAAAATATTTCACATAATCTATATAAATGTAATATTTTTGCCTGCATGACTTTTTGAAAAAGTAATAGATTTTTTAAAATATTTTTTTGATGTATTATAGGTAGTCTTCCACTTACGACAACAGTTGGCACCAGAATTTCCACTGATGAGCAACGACAGTTGTTAAGTGAGTAGCACCAATTTTACGAACTTTTTTTTGCCATGGTCCTTAAGCAAATCAATACAGTTGTTAAATGAATCACACAGTCATTTAACGAATCCAGCTTCCCCCACTGACTTTGCTTGCTGGAAACCAGCTGGGAAAGGTTGCAAAAGGTGATCACAGGACTCTGGGAAGCTGCAACTGTTGTAAATACATACCGGTTGCTAAATGCCTGAATTTTGATCATGTGACCGTGGGGATGCTGTGACAGCCATAAGTCCAAGGACTAGTCGTCAGTCACTTTTTTCAGTGCTGTTGTAACTTTGAATGGTCGCTATACTAATGGTTATAAGCCAAGGACTAACTGGATTTAAATAAAATGTAAAGCAAAAAAAAACACCACAAGACCATAATGCTCTGCATCTCTACAGCATTCAAGAATTCACTAATTGCACTGTGCTATGTGATTTTGGTTGTCTGGTACCAGATTAACGTTATGTGTGAATTCAGCTATCATGGTTCGTTGAACAGAGAATTATTACTCCAATCAGTATTTGCATGAAGTGTGAATTCAGATCTTGTATGTTTTGCAGCCTGGTCATTACCTTGGTTCAGCTAAACCTTCTGAACACTTCAATCAAATTCTGTTGTCTATTAAAGTTACCTGTCCCATTACAACACCTGGATGTCTGCAACTGGTTTCTGCACATGTGGGCGTTGCAGGTGTTTCCTGATTGGCATCTCCACCTTCTTCAGCAGCTCCGGAGGTTAGTCTTAAAGTCTACAATGAAAATAATTTTAACTTAAAAAAAAAAATCAGCAGTTGCTTTCAAATCTCCTGCTACTTCAACAATAGGAGGATTTAATTATCTGTATTGTATTATTCTGCCTAGAACATATTAAAGGCTTCAGAAGTTTATATTTTCCCACAACCTCATTATTGAATGATCTGAGAAAAACCAAAAGGAAGAAGCAAAAGGTTAAACTGATGCAAGGGCTCCACCAAGATCAACAATGTTGGGCCATGCAAAGCACTTTTATCTGGAAAAGCAGCTGGAAGGTGGTGTGATTCCAATGGGAAAATGCATCAGGAGTGAAAAGGGTCTAAGCATGAACCCAAGAAGCATGGAAAACCGTCATCATGAAGAGCACGTTTTTCAACTATTGAATTTGCTGGTGGTCAATTAGGTAGTATTTAAAAAGTCTAATGAGGATTACATCCTTAACAACAATGGCTGTATAATACTATCCAGTTGGGAGTTTTATTTCTTTAGCATAAACATGACAGAGGAGAAGTAAGCTTATACATACAATCCATGTAATTTTATATAAGACCTCTAAGGAGATACAGTAGTGGCCTCATAACTGTATATATACAGATAATCCTCAATTTATGACCATAATGAAGCCTGCCCATCAAGGTTGTAAGTCATGATAGTTGTAAAATTGGTCACCAAATGATCAACTTGATTTTAGGACTTTCTTTGCACCAGTTAAGTAAATTAATGCCTTGCTATGGGCCACTTTTGCTGAAAATTGGAAGTTATTGCTCGTTTTGGGGAAAATTATTGTAAAATGGGGTCATGATTGTGGAACACTGCAATTAGCCATGAAGTGGATTAGGAGCCTGGATAGCTCAGCAGACTAATGCATTGTAATTTAACTCCAGCTGTCTGCAATTAGTAAGTTCGAATCTTGCCAGGCTCAAGGTTGACTCAGCCTTCCATCCTTTCTAAGGTAGGTAAATAGAGGACCCAGTTTATGGCGGCAATAAGCTGACTTTGTAAAAATATACAAAAGTATGAAGGCTATTGCTTAATGCATTGTAAGCCGCCCTGAGTCTCCAGAGAAGGGCGGCATATAAATCAAATTAAAAAAAAAAGAATAGTAGGCTGGTTGCCAAGTGCCCGACATGCACTCACATGACCAAAGGGGGTGACGGTCAGAACTTCAGAACCAGATTATAAGAATCCCCAGGGAAGCCTATTGTAACTTCAAACAGTCACTAAGTGACCAGTCATAAGTCAAGGACTACTGTAGCTAATGGAAAACACAGAATTTTAATTCCAAGGTAGAGACAAGAAAGCAAAAATGAAAGAACAGTGACAAAGTATTCCTTCTGACTTAGGTGATGAAATTAACACAACATGTCCTATGTCCCAAAGCATAACCTTATTGCTATGTCCTCGAAGATGCACATTTCAGTGGCTCAAAGGCTTACATAAGGCATACCTGATAGCTGCTTCTCTTCCTTAAATAGTGGAGGATCTTGATTCTGGGTCCCAAGGGGATCCCCATCTCTTTAAGCTCCTTGTCTGTGCACAAGGCCTGCACATAAGAATTCCACAGTCAGAAACACAGTTCTACTACAAACAGGATACAGAAAGGAAGAGGGAAAGGGGCAGGGCTTAGGCTGTCCTTCTACGTGGCAATTTCAAGAGGCAATGTAGCTTTGTAAAACCAACATACTAATCCCAAACAAAACAAAGGGAGTCTGCAAAGCCCAGAATCGGGAAACACTGCAGAAAAGGTGACATCTGAGTCACAGTCCATAAACTTTCCCATAAGCAATTCCTGTGACCTTCCCTAGTTCACAGACTAAGTACTGTTGCCCAAAAGGCAATGACTTTGAAATGCCACACTACAAAAGAGTAAGAATGAGAATAATTAAGTGCTTCTCCAAAGATTCTAGCACAGAATGATTGTGTGTGTGTATGTGTGTGTGTGTGTGTGTGTTAAATAATATTGTCCTTAACTATAAAATTGGGACATTCTTATAAATGCACTTGGATTTCTAAAGCAAGACAAAAGTAATATAAATAAATGGGAAAGGTAGGATGTTATATCTTGCCAAAGAAGTATCTAATTCTGAACATGAACTACTATCCCAGATGATGTTCTCCAAGCAGATCCAAACAAAAATTCAATGGAAAAAAAATTGCTCAACCATATCTACCACCCTCTGGTAATTATTGACCTAAAGTTTATTTGCCTTAAGAGGCCATGCTGAAGACAGATATATAAAAGCTAGCAGCATCCATGTTCTAGGTAACAGAAGCAACCCCAGTTTCATTTACCAATGCTCGATTGTCCATTTTTTCCTTCTCAAACACAGCATAATATTCAGAAAGATCAAGTTCTGCTAAGATGTCCTTCATAGATTTGTTGACTTCCTGATCCATTGCCAGTCTTTGTAATCCCTGTGAAAAGTTAATTGGGAAGCTTTTAAGGCTCCTGGTTTCCTTCAGTTTAGGAAGCTTGCAAATGTTATCACTGAAATAAATGATCAAATTGTGGAATTTTACAAATGATTCTCCTAATACTGAGTTGTAGAACCTGTTTGGTGTAGTGGTTAAAGCCTCAGACTAGAAACTAGGAGACTTCTGAATTCTAGTGTCATAGGTAGAATTCCAGGTGTGTGACCTTGGGCCAATTACTCAGGCAGTTGTAAACCACCTTGTCAAGAAAACTGCAGGGACTTATCCAGGCAGTCTCCGAGAATTGGATAGAATCGAACACAAATAAACAAACAAACAAACAAATGGTTAAATCAAAGTTCGATCATGCTGGGAGCTTGTCAACCTTTATGTCTATGGAGATTCTCAGTCATGGTTGTCCCAAAGGTGCTTTTTTCAAGAGGCAACGGAACTTTCTGTTTTTTCTTTGAAGACATTCCGCTTCTCACCCAAGAAGCTTCTTCAGCTTTGAAGAAGTTTCTTGGATGAGAAGTGAAACATATTCAAAGAAAAACCAGAAAGTCCCGTTGCCTCTTGAAAAACCTTTACTAACTTTGAAGTCCATTGTTTAACCAAACATATATAGCTGCCCATCTCAGACAATGATTCTGGGTGGCTTGCAATTCAAAAAAAATATAATGCAATTAAAATATTAAATACAATTTAAAACACTAAGAACACTAAATTCAAATCTAATCCAGCCCAGAGAAACAGCTTAAATGTACTGTAATTTCATTAAGGAAAACAATTAAAGATTTATTTAATCTTCCTACAGACAGACAACAAAACACTTATTGATAGCTGAAATCCTATATCACCTTATACAGGTAGTCCTGGTAGACCACAATTTTTTTTTATAAAAAGTTTTTTTTTTATTTTTTACACATACAGACACACAAACATACAATGTATTTTTGCTGAACAGGGTATTTGGCTGGTTAACAAATTTAAACAGTTTTTAGTCCTTTCAACTAAAATTACAATTTCTATACCTCCTTTTTGCCATAGTATTTATTTTCATCTATTTTTTTACCAATATTACCCTTCATTTTCATCTCTAATTTTAACCAAGTTCCATTTTTCCCTTCTATTCTATATTAAACCCCTTCTCATTGTTTTTATATCCATCATCAGATTAATTAATTTTTTGGTGTTACAGTTGTTCAATTCTTATAGAAATAGTAAACCCACTTATTCTAACATACATTTCCTTAAATAATACAGTCCAACATTTTAATATAAATCAATTAATTATGTAAATATCTTTCAGTTATATATTGAAACAAAAAAAAAAAAGAATATAAACGTGGATATTCCAATTAGTTCCATTTTCATACATCAAATAATTTTCCCCATGTTCCTCCAAACCACATTTTAATCATTTCTACTTTCACCACGATATGCAATTAAAAATATTTCATTTATTACAATTTCCTTAGTTAAATTTAAAAATATTCTAGCTGTTATCCTCTAACCATAAAGCGTTCCCCATGTATTGTTCCAAATCCTCACTTAATCATTTCTACACACACTACCATAAACCATTAAAAGTATTTCAATTATTACAATTTAAACTTATTCGTATTTCTAAAAAGAAACTCATCATTATCTAGATTTCAAAAATACAAATGATAATATTCCAATTATTATTCAATTCATTTTCACCATATGATTTACCATTATCCCTTACTACAATTCGTATTTCAGTTCTAGATATATACAGTATATCATATTCCCTTTTCATTTCTTTTTTCTTTTCTCCAGTGGTGGGATTCAAGTAATTTAACAACCGGTTCTCTGCCCTAATGATTTCTTCCAATAACCAGTTTGCCAAACTACTCAGAAAGTTAACAACCGGTTCTCCCGAAGTGGTGCAAACTGGCTGAATCTCACCACTGCTTTTCTCCCTTTTCATTTTTATTTTTACCTTTTTCTTTCCCCTTTTTTCCTGTGCTTTAAAATCCTGATCTCTCCTGTTTTGTTTTGTTCCCCCTCTCTTTTCTCTCTTTTTTATTTCACCACTGTTTAGCCCAGTATTATCATTCTGTATTTCAAAGTTCTGGATTCTTCTATTCTGCCCTATGTTTCCTGTTGTTTTCCACTCTTTTTCTCTCTTTTTTATCTTTTCACCGTAAATCCCAGTGTAATCATTTAAATTCTTTATATTCTTTCTGTTCCACCCTTCTTTCCTTATTTGTCTCTTTCTATCCTATTTTTTTCATTGTTAATCCCAATGTAATCTCTAAAAACCTCCTTTTTATTATTACTATCCACATATTCAGTTACTTTTTCATATTTAATCACATTGTTTTTTCTTCTTTATTTTCAGCCTCTGTGATTTGCTTCTCCATCTTTATTTCCTTGTCAGCTTGCATATGCTCTACCTCAATTTTTATGTCCTCAGATTTTAATTCCCCATGCAACAGTGTAGTTATTTCTTTTATTTCCATTTTCCATGACAAGTACATTGATTTGATCATTTCTCTAATTTCCTGCGCCATTTTATTCTTTTTGAGTTAGTATTATTCCAATTTTAAAATTTCAATTGTATTCCTTTTTTTTTCAAAGTCAAGCCGCTTGCAGACAAAAGAATCCGCCCCAAAAGTTCTCATGGCTGTTATCTGTAAAGTTCACAATTTTCCAAAACAAAGACCAAGTTGCAATGTTCCTTTTTGCTCCTGAAGGTGTCTCTCTGCAATCCACAATTTCCAGTTATCTAATAAGTATCCATTTTGTTTCAATCTACATTAACAATCTTAACTAGCTTCTCTTTTTCTTTTTAGCTTTAAAAATACCAAATCAGTTTTATAGTCCAGTCCAAATTTAAACAGCTCTTTTCACTTCTTTTTTCCTTTTTCCTTTTGTTTATACAACACTTCTATTACAGGGCTTATTGTCCATTCTCTTTTATTTTTCTTAAAATTCGAAAAAAGCAAGGG